CTGTGAATGATAATGTGTGTTGTGTTGACTTAGTATTTGGACAAGTGGATTGAATTGTTGATGGAGAGAATGCATGGGAGACTGATTGGATGAATGTTTTGATGAGTGGTTGTGCGAGTGTTTGTACGAGTGTTTGTAGAAGTGGTTGGACGAATGTTTGGATTGTTGAAGGTTTAATCTATTTGACAGATTGATCGATGGATTGATTGATTGATTTGTTGATTTGTTGATTTGTTGATTTTTTGAATGATCGACTGATTGATTGAAGGACTGATGTGATGATTGATTGATGGATTGATTAATTTATTGATTGATTGATTGATTAATTATTGGTGTTGGATTTCGTCCATTGTAGCTGAGACCACTACTGGCACGAACGAAGTGACGACGGAGACCGAGATTACGGAGACCGACACTACGGGAACTGAGGTTATGTTGACGGAGAGTACAACAGGTGAGTGTGTTAGTTGATTGTGTGTATGCAATGTACGCAGTGTTGTTTGTGTGAGATGTGTTTGAGTTAGTTGTGCACAGATCTGATACTACTGGTGATTTGGTGGATTGCATGTAGTGCACTCGATGTGATGGATGTGAACTAATTTGTGTTCGAGTGTGTGTGTGTGAGTGAGTTATTGTTGGATTGTCTGATTTATTGATTGTTTGATTGATTGACTGATTGAGTCAGTGAGTGCGTGAGTGCGTGAGTGAGTGAGTGTGTTTGCGAAGGAGAGTGTGAGATAGTGTTTGAGTGTTTGTTTGTGTGCGTGTGTCTGTGAATGATAATGTGTGTTGTGTTGACTTAGTATTTGGACAAGTGGATTGAATTGTTGATGGAGAGAATGCATGGGAGACTGATTGGATGAATGTTTTGATGAGTGGTTGTGCGAGTGTTTGTACGAGTGTTTGTAGAAGTGGTTGGACGAATGTTTGGATTGTTGAAGGTTTAATCTATTTGACAGATTGATCGATGGATTGATTGATTGATTTGTTGATTTGTTGATTTTTTGAATGATCGACTGATTGATTGAAGGACTGATGTGATGATTGATTGATTGATTGATTGATTAATTAATTGATTGATTGATTGATTAATTATCGGTGTTGGATTTCGTCCATTGTAGCTGAGACCACTACTGGCACGAACGAAGTGACGACGGAGACCGAGATTACGGAGACCGACACTACGGGAACTGAGGTTATGTTGACGGAGAGTACAACAGGTGAGTGTGTTAGTTGATTGTGTGTATGCAATGTACGCAGTGTTGCTTGTGTGAGATGTATTTGAGTTAGTTGTGCACAGAACTGATACTACTGGTGATTTGGTGGATTGCATGTAGTGCACTCGATGTGATGGATGTGAAGTAATTTTTGTTCGTGTGTGTGTGTGTGAGTGAGTTATTGTTGGATTGTCTGATTTATTGATTGGTTGATTGATTGACTGATTGAGTCAGTGAGTGCGTGAGTGAGTGCGTGAGTGAGTGAGTGAGTGTGTATGGGAAGGAGAGTGTGAGATAGTGTTTGAGTGTTTGTTTGTGTGCGTGTGTCTGTGAATGATAATGTGTGTTGTGTTGACTTAGTAGTTGGACAGGTGGATTGAATTGTTGATGGAGAGAATGCATGGGAGACTGATTGGATGAATGTTTTGATGAGTGGTTGTGCGAGTGTTTGTTCGATTGTTTGTAGGGGTGGTTGGACGAATGTTTGGATTGTTGAAGGTTTAATCTATTTGACAGATTGATCGATGGATTGATTGATTGATTTGTTGATTTGTTGATTTGTTGATTTTTTGAATGATCGACTGATTGATTGAAGGACTGATGTGATGATTGATTGATGGATTGATTAATTTATTGATTGATTGATTGATTAATTATTGGTGTTGGATTTCGTCCATTGTAGCTGAGACCACTACTGGCACGAACGAAGTGACGACGGAGACCGAGATTACGGAGACCGACACTACGGGAACTGAGGTTATGTTGACGGAGAGTACAACAGGTGAGTGTGTTAGTTGATTGTGTGTATGCAATGTACGCAGTGTTGTTTGTGTGAGATGTGTTTGAGTTAGTTGTGCACAGATCTGATACTACTGGTGATTTGGTGGATTGCATGTAGTGCACTCGATGTGATGGATGTGAACTAATTTGTGTTCGAGTGTGTGTGTGTGAGTGAGTTATTGTTGGATTGTCTGATTTATTGATTGGTTGATTGATTGACTGATTGAGTCAGTGAGTGCGTGAAAGAGTGCGTGAGTGAGTGAGTGAGTGAGTGAGTGTGTTTGGGAAGGAGAGTGTGAGATAGTGTTTGAGTGTTTGTTTGTGTGCGTGTGTCTGTGAATGATAATGTGTTTTGAGTTGACATAGTATTTGGACAAGTGGATTGAATTGTTGATGGAGAGAATGCATGGGAGACTGATTGGATGAATGTTTTGATGAGTGGTTGTGCGAGTGTTTGTACGAGTGTTTGTAGGAGTGGTTGGACGAATGTTTGGATTGTTGAAGGTTTAATCTATTTGACAGATTGATCGATGGATTGATTGATTGATTGACTGATTTGTTGATTTGTTGAATTTTTGAATGATCGACTGATTGATTGAAGGACTGATGTGATGATTGATTGATTAATTATTGGTGTTGGATTTCGTCCATTGTAGCTGAGACCACTACTGGCACGAACGAAGTGACGACGGAGACCGAGATTACGGAGACCGACACTACGGGAACTGAGGTTATGTTGACGGAGAGTACAACAGGTGAGTGTGTTAGTTGATTGTGTGTATGCAATGTACGCAGTGTTGTTTGTGTGAGATGTGTTTGAGTTAGTTGTGCACAGAACTGATAGTGGTGGTGATTTGGTGAATTGAGTTTTGTCTACTCGAGTATATAGCGTTCGTTTTTTGAATCCTTTTTGTACTTCCGCCGGCTATTTGATTATTTCTTTATGGGTTTTTTATGGTTCTGTTCTGTGCCTCCATTGCCTCGCTTGTATGTTTTCTTAATTTCTGTCATTGTTTTTTTGTCGTGCTTGTTTTTCGTTTTCGGATATGCATTACGCTCTTTGGTTTAGATCATTCTGTTTATTCTTTTCGAACCCATTTGTCCAGTTCACTTGTTTGCCTATTAACCTGATTGTTTTTATTTGTTACTATGTTTGTTATTCGCTGATCCTATTCTTCATCGATCTGTATTCTATTTTCGTTGGACTTTAAATATCGATTGACGCTTGGTTCAAGCGAGTTGTCTCATTCACCTTGTCCGCTGCGCATCATTTCGTTTCGTCTCGCTCTCTCCTCTTCACTTTCTTCGCTTCGTTTCTCTGATCATTTGTCTGGATCAATGATTGTACGAAACATGCATACTTAAAACTCGTTCTCGTATTTGACTCATCAAACTCGGTTATTCACTAACGCGAGTTAATTCGATGATAATATACGAGGGCTGGCCGTATGTATATTTCGATGACAATCATCACACGATATAATTGGAGTCAGATATCAGGCCACCAAAAGTGGTGAGCTCGTCGATAACAACATCGTCCGATCTAGTTGTCGTCAAAATGAAGGGCCACTCAACGTGACCAGCACGACGACGAACCTAACGCAGCCAAACTACGTCGATGATGAACCCTCTACACTCCATACTTTCAATGTACGAACTCAACGTAGCTTGCTCAATCGATAAACAACACAGTTTTCGACCATACGAGCAAATCGGAGAGAGATCACAACACCACTAAAGTGGTAGGCCCGACTTCGAACCTAACGCAACCTGGCAAACTAGTCGGACGATGATCGTCTCGAACTCTACGCATCCGTTAATCAAACTAAGTAACTGAATTGGTCTAAGAGACACTCAAACTACTCAATCTCTAATCCGACACATTCGGCGAAGCCGGTACGGTGGGGACATGGATATGATCAAGTCGTATGACCTTATTGACACTTTGTCCTCGTGTCACCTCTGCTCACTGAACTGTTTAGCGCATCGTTCCATTATGATTATAATAATTATCATATTATCATTATCACATTAATGTCACACCACCACCTAACGTGGAATTATTATTGCTGTTCGTGCTGATATTAGATCATGACATTTAAGCAATCATATCACACTCCCCATCAAAGTGTAATTTTATGAACATTTCATTTACGTTGTGACAGTCGAAACTCGTTGCATAATTCTTTGATTTTTCAATAACGTAAAATTTTGCTGCTTTATGTGAGTTTGTTCCATTTTCTCCGCGTCATTTTTGCCCTGTTATTACACTCATTCTTTGATTTTTTCAAGGACGACACTCTCATGATATTATTTTCTGTTTTTCTATTAATACATCTTACGCACACTTCATCTAAGTTTTCGAACTGCTGTTGTCTATTGAACTGTCTGAAATTAATTCGACATCAGTGTTATATATTTACGATTTTCTTGCTGCAAGTTTAGCTACATTGTTGTCTAAGTCGGGAACGTTAATGTAGTTTGCTACTGTTGTTCTCGTCATCACTATTATTGCTTGATTGGTATTTATGTTGGAATTCAAATTCTTCAATATATCAGATTGTACCAATATCATATCGCAAATTGTGCCACGACACATTTGCTGCAAGGTTTTGGTTGATGATGATTGACTGACAAGGTGATCTAATCTAGTTTATTACACCGTCATATAATAATGAAGAGACACATTAATGTGATGAGAAACTGGCTGGTGAAATATGTTTAATTTAGGTCGTATACAGAAATATGTTGAATGCAAAGGCGAATCTACAGAAGCGATTGGAAAATTGGAAATCATTAGAAACAGACCTGATGTGAGCAGTAGATTATGTGAAGTGACCTGATTGAGGCATTCAGTGATTTGACCTTCTATTCACTCCAAATTGTTTACTCCTGAATTCACGTTTTCATCATTTGTGTGCTTATCTAAATTCAAGTTCCTCTCTCCAATGTTTTGTGTTTGTGTTTCTGCTTGTCTATCTGCATTGCATGTAACCAAACTCCATGTGTTCTTTTAATGAAAATTTTCTTCGTTATCTACTTAAATGTTTTATAGAAGGCAACCTCACGAAAACAGTAGTAATCGGTAAGTCAAAATATGATATAGCAGTTTGTTTTGTCACACCAATTTATTTTCCTGATTGATTGTTTTGATTCTGCTTTCCATTTCATTCATCAATATGTGGTTACATTGCATTACATAAACGGTTGGGTGAATTGTTCCTCTTGGAAATTCAGTGTAGCGAAGAGATGTCACATATAGTACGCTCATATATTGAAATTATTTGTCAATCAGTATTTATTGTTGAGTTTCTCAGGGTCGTCTGGTCGCGTTGGCCACTATCTATGTTAAACCGGAATGATTCATAATCTTTCCAAGTGGAACAATTTAATTGTATTCGTATAAAAGCTAACAAGTACTGAAATTTACTGTAACTGTGGAAGTCACGTTACATTTGTTTGCTGAGCGTCACTTCACTCACAATATTGTTACACTTATTAACCAATGTGTGTGGGTAGACATTACTACTTGGTGCAGAATTCTTTATTTTCATAACAAACCAAGAGCATATCGCATTCAGTGTGCATGGATGTGGGAAATCAAACAACCATTTACTTCATAGTGTCCATCACTTTGATAGATCATAATCGAATACACTTGGATTTGTGGTGTGGAGTTGAAGAGAGGTCGTTCAGTTTTGTTTTGTTGTGCAACAGTAAGTCAACTCAATATTCTCCTTTCACTGAGAAGTCGGATTTAAATCAACGAACTTTGACTTGTTGGAAACTATTTAATTTCTTTTGTAGCAGTCTCATCAATGCTGACTAGATCGAACAAGTCTTTGGAGTGGAATGACAGTTTATTGGATCCTAGTTCCGATTTATATCGAAATTATTCAGCTGAAATTTGTAATTTGGTAAGTTTGTTACCGAGTTCTCAATTGAATTTACATAAAAATGAGGAAAACTGATTAAATGTATAGACAACCTGTGTCTTTTGATAAAGGGTTGAAGTTTGACATTTGAAGACGGTTTTTGGAAATATATGTAGCTATTTAATAGCTATTTATAGAAGACAGAGTACTATTTAACTGTTTTCTCTAACTGTGACGAATAGTACCTGTAGAAATTCAAGATGTTGTTTGGGTAGATTCCATGATCATTGTTTTATGCAATTATGAATTTAACTCGTCGTGGTTAATGGTGTCCGTTCTTCACCATTTACCATGTAGATCATATCTCGTTTTACTCTACACAAACTGATGCAGTCTCAAAACACTCTATGGTCTCCAATCACTATGTTGTTGCAATCAAATAAAGGCGAATGTGCTTGTTTCGTTTGATTATGCATAGCATAATTACCAGAAGTGGTCAACATGCACGGGCACGATCCTGTAATGGATCAGTCGTTTTGATATTGTAAGTAGTGACAACTGAGGTTACCCAGTCGATAAATATATTTGCTAATCCACGAGTTTGGAAAACCAATTTGTTCTCCTTCCACGTGAATGTAAAACTTCGGTGCTATAAAACTCCACCAAACTACTTGTTCGACATTCATACAACAATGATTTATGCCGATGAGCTAATTTCATCTAACCTAACATGAATGGCACCATGGGGTAGCCTCACTGAGCTAAGTGGCAGTATAGCACCATCTGCCTGATGTTATACATTGTGATGTCGCATTAACTATCAACTGCGACTAACTCATTTATTCATTCATTACTGACTATTCCATTGAAAAGCCACCGCTCACATTTCTGTGGCTTGAGATGCTGATTGATATCATGTGCTAAGGTTACCAATCGGAATTCTAACTCTAATTTCTTTTCCATTCCGTGTTTACTATTTCCTCCATGACCCAGTGTCCAAGCAATGACCAACCACAGGCATGACCCTCACCGTCCACCTTGTGGCGATGCAAGCCAAGCTCCTATTTTTCCGCTACTCGTAAGCCCTTCTTTGCCTTCAAACTTGAGTCAAAGAGAGAAGTCAACAGACGGCCTCTATCATTCTTATACTTCAGGCATACGTGGAATCATATACAGTCGTGCTGGACCACATCGCACCACTGAGTGAAAAATCACAAGCATACATAGACAAGCCGAAAGTGTTTGTGAATAATGCAAGCCGTAAGTAGTAGACTGGCAAAAATCTGGGAGTGGAGAGTTGTCTATCAGTGGTTAACGGGTTAACCAAAAGCTTGTGGTTAACGTATTATATAGACACAGTAATCCAGTTGCTTAGTAATTATATAAGAAAAACATAGTTGATAGCAATAACAATATTCGTGATAACGATTCAAAAACCATTTTCCAAATTTCCAACTTTTACAATATTCATCCCGTTATAACACGCACGATTTTCTTCTCACAAAATCTTCAAGCTTTTGGACAGCATATATTCAACTAATATTGAGGGAATAATCAATGTTAATTGCACAGTTGTTGGCTTCTCGCGTGGATCAGTTGTTGGAAATGCAGTATTAGTCATCGACCATAGTAGCACAAGTGGGAATTTCTCATCGACTGAAGTGACAAAAGACACTGTTCAAAATGCTGTTGTGGCATACATAGCAGAAATGGTTGCCAATGGGTCGGAGCAAGTGTACTTCGATACATCAAGTGGCTTGACAGTAGAAAGTGAGTGCATGTGATATTTTCGAGCTATATTGAAATTGAATTTTGTGTTTAACGTCGGTTGAGTAAACCAGTTTATCCTGCGAGTTGAGCGCCACGTTCTCAATGCATCTTGGAAGTTGATGATAGGGGATTCCGACACCGGAAGCGAACGTTGTAGGATTCAACTGATTATTTCTCACGTTAAATATCACCTGCATAACAATTAGCATGCATGTATGATGTGATCATCTATTAGATGCTCTTAATTTTAGTTCATGAAACTGTTTGGTCCTATTTCAAATTTGTTGTTCTAGAGAGACAATAGAAATCTGTCTTATCCTCAGTCACTTGTATAGGACCTTTCCATATATGCTGTTTGATATAGAATTCCGTTTACATTTTAAAGAGTCTTACAGTTGGTGAGATCACAACACACGACGAAATGGAATGTTCAGTGTTCGATCAACGAGGAAATGGAATTGTTCACAAGTTTGAAAAACAACTCCATCACTTGCAAACCATCTGCAGCGAAAGTGTCTCGACTTCATTTACTGTCAAATACCTAGTCGCCTGCCATGGCTAGCAGCTAATCATAATCAGGATTAATTGTCATGTATACTCAGCTTTTTGTGACGTGAATAGATACACGTTTCTCATTGTATTTTCAGCTGTAATCGATGTGGCAACCACTGAGGTGATCACTGAATCCCAGAATACCGAAGATAACAAGACTACGGGTAAGTAAGTGGTTTGCAATTTTTTCCCTGAGTCGATAATATACGCGAGAACTTATGTCTTAAGATTGCAAATTGTACGAGTAAAATACTCTGAATATTCACTTTTGTGAGTTGATTCTTCGACCAGTAATTTTGACTGAAGTATTATTGAGATAATCTTTCTCAGATAAAAGAATATGGAGTGACAGTAAATTAGTTAGAAAAATCCAAAATATCATATATCAGTATTCGCGACAACGCAGAGATGTTTGAAGTATGTGTAAGGTCCCCATATGACATAAAATTAAAGATGTCACGAGTAATCAGGGTGTCGGAATGTAAGGCAGTACATTTAAAAAAGTAGATAAGAACGATTGATAAATCGAATAGTTATATTAAGAACGAATTAAGATGATGTGTATGTATGAAAACACATAGTGAAAGCAGCGAGTTATGCTTCACGTGGAAGAAATTAACAAACGCTAAATTACTACAAGTAGATAAACGACATTTCGGGCAGTAATGGAAATTCATCCATAATCAAGTTCGCGTTCCACATTATCTATTAATATTATTATAATTGATTGATACATTGATTAACTGATTGAGTCAGTGAGTGCGTGAAAGAGTGCGTGAGTGAGTGTGTTTGGGAAGGAGAGTAAGAGATAGTGTTTGAGTGTGTGTGTGTGTGTGTGTCTGTGAATGATAATGTGTGTTGTGTTGACTTAGTATTTGGACAAGTGGATTGAATTGTTGATGGAGAGAATGCATGAGAGACTGATTGGATGAATGTTTTGATGAGTGGTTGTGCGAGTGTTTGTACGAGTGTTTGTAGGAGTGGTTGGACGAATGTTTGGATTGTTGAAGGTTTAATCTATTTGACAGATTGATCGATGGATTGATTGATTGATTTGTTGATATATGAATGATCGACTGATTGGTTGATGGACTGATGTGATGATTGATTGATTGATTGATTGATTAATTATTGGTGTTGGATTTCGTCCATTGTAGCTGAGACCACTACTGGCACGAACGAAGTGACGACGGAGACCGAGATTACGGAGACCGACACTACGGGAACTGAGGTTATGTTGACGGAGAGTACAACAGGTGAGTGTGTTAGTTGATTGTGTGTATGCAATGTAGGCAGTGTTGTTTGTGTGAGATGTGTTTGAGTTAGTTGTGCACAGAACTGATACTACTGGTGATTTGGTGGATTGCATATAGTGCACTCGATTGGATGGATGTGAATTAATTTGTGTTCGTGTGTGTGTGTGTGTGTGTGTGAGTTAGTGTGGTATTGTCTGATTTATTGATTGGTTGATTGATTGACTGATTGAGTCAGTGAGTGCGTGAGTGAGTGCGTGAGTGAGTGAGTGAGTGAGTGTGTTTGGGAAGGATAGTGTGAGATAGTGTTTGAGTGTTTGTTTGTGTGCGTGTGTCTGTGAATGATAATGTGTGTTGTGTTGACTTAGTATTTGGACAAGTGGATTGAATTGTTGATGGAGAGAATGCATGGGAGACTGATTGGATGAATGTTTTGATGAGTGGTTGTGCGAGTGTTTGTACGAGTGTTTGTAGGAGTGGTTGGACGAATGTTTGGATTGTTGAAGGTTTAATCTATTTGACAGATTGATCGATGGATTGATTGATTGATTTGTTGATTTGTTGATTTTTTGAATGATCGACTGATTGATTGACGGACTGATGTGATGATTGATTGATTGATTGATTGATTAATTATCGGTGTTGGATTTCGTCCATTGTAGCTGAGACCACTACTGGCACGAACGAAGTGACGACGGAGACCGAGATTACGGAGACCGACACTACGGGAACTGAGGTTATGTTGACGGAGAGTACAACAGGTGAGTGTGTTAGTTGATTGTGTGTATGCAATGTAGGCAGTGTTGTTTGTGTGAGATGTGTTTGAGTTAGTTGTGCACAGAACTGATACTACTGGTGATTTGGTGGATTGCATATAGTGCACTCGATTGGATGGATGTGAATTAATTTGTGTTCGTGTGTGTGTGTGTGTGTGTGAGTTAGTGTGGTATTGTCTGATTTATTGATTGGTTGATTGATTGACTGATTGAGTCAGTGAGTGCGTGAAAGAGTGCGTGGTGAGTGAGTGAGTGAGTGAGTGTGTTTGGGAAGGATAGTGTGAGATAGTGTTTGAGTGTTTGTTTGTGTGCGTGTGTCTGTGAATGATAATGTGTGTTGTGTTGACTTAGTATTTGGACAAGTGGATTGAATTGTTGATGGAGAGAATGCATGGGAGACTGATTGGATGAATGTTTTGATGAGTGGTTGTGCGAGTGTTTGTACGAGTGTTTGTAGGAGTGGTTGGACGAATGTTTGGATTGTTGAAGGTTTAATCTATTTGACAGATTGATCGATGGATTGATTGATTGATTTGTTGATTTGTTGATTTTTTGAATGATCGACTGATTGATTGACGGACTGATGTGATGATTGATTGATTGATTGATTGATTAATTATCGGTGTTGGATTTCGTCCATTGTAGCTGAGACCACTACTGGCACGAACGAAGTGACGACGGAGACCGAGATTCCGGAGACCGACACTACGGGAACTGAGGTTATGTTGACGGAGAGTACAACAGGTGAGTGTGTTAGTTGATTGTGTGTATGCAATGTACGCAGTGTTGTTTGTGTGAGATGTGTTTGAGTTAGTTGTGCACAGAACTGATACTACTGGTGATTTGGTGGATTGCATGTAATGCACTCGATGTGATGGATGTGAACTAATTTGTGTTCGTGTGTGTGTGTGTGTGAGTGAGTTAATGTGGGATTGTCTGATTTATTGATTGGTTGATTGATTGACTGATTGAGTCAGTGAGTGTGTGAAAGTGTGCGTGAGTGAGTGAGTGAGTGAGTGTGTTTGGGAAGGAGAGTGTGAGATAGTGTTTGAGTGTGTGTTTGTGTGCGTGTGTCTGTGAATGATAATGTGTGTTGTGTTGACTTAGTATTTGGACAAGTGGATTGAATTGTTGATGGAGAGAATGCATGAGAGACTGATTGGATGAATGTTTTGATGAGTGGTTGTGCGAGTGTTTGTACGAGTGTTTGTAGGAGTGGTTGTACGAATGTTTGGATTGTTGAAGGTTTAATCTATTTGACAGATTGATCGATGGATTGATTGATTGATTTGTTGATTTGTTGAATTTTTGAATGATCGACTGATTGATTGAAGGACTGATGTGATGATTGATTGATGGATTGATTGATTAATTATCGGTGTTGGATTTCGTCCATTGTAGCTGAGACCACTACTGGCACGAACGAAGTGACGACGGAGACCGAGATTACGGAGACCGACACTACGGGAACTGAGGTTATGTTGACGGAGAGTACAACAGGTGAGTGTGTTAGTTGATTGTGTGTATGCAATGTACGCAGTGTTGTTTGTGTGAGATGTGTTTGAGTTAGTTGTGCACAGAACTGATACTACTGGTGATTTGGTGGATTGCATGTAGTGCGCTCGATTGGATGGATGTGAACAAATTTGTATTCCTGTGTGTGTGTATGAGTGAGTTATTGTTGGATTGTCTGATTTATTGATTGGTTGATTGATTGACTGATTGAGTCAGTGAGTGCGTGAAAGAGTGCGTGAGTGAGTGAGTGAGTGAGTGTGTTTGGGAAGGAGAGTGTGAGATAGTGTTTGAGTGTTTGTTTGTGTGCGTGTGTCTGTGAATGATAATGTGTGTTGTGTTGACATAGTATTTGGACAAGTGGATTGAATTGTTGATGGAGAGAATGCATGGGAGACTGATTGGATGAATGTTTTGATGAGTGGTTGTGCGAGTGTTTGTACGAGTGTTTGTACGAGTGGTTGGACGAATGTTTGGATTGTTGAAGGTTTAATCTATTTGACAGATTGATCGATGGATTGATTGACTGATTTGTTGATTTGTTGATTTGTTGATTTTTTGAATGATCGACTGATTGATTGAAGGACTGATGTGATGAATGATTGATGGATTGATGGATTGATTGATTGATTGATTAATTATCGGTGTTGGATTTCGTCCATTGTAGCTGAGACCACTACTGGCACGAACGAAGTGACGACGGAGACCGAGATTACGGAGACCGACACTACGGGAACTGAGGTTATGTTGACGGAGAGTACAACAGGTGAGTGTGTTAGTTGATTGTGTGTATGCAATGTACGCAGTGTTGTTTGTGTGAGATGTGTTTGAGTTAGTTGTGCACAGAACTGATACTACTGGTGATTTGGTGGATTGCATGTAGTGCACTCGATTGGATGGATGTGAACTAATTTGTGTTCGTGTGTGTGTGTGTGTGTGTGAGTGAGTTAATGTGGGATTGTCTGATTTATTGATTAATTGATTGATTGACTGATTGAGTCAGTGAGTGCGTGAGTGAATGAGTGAGTGTGTTTGGGAAGAAGAGTTTGAGATAGTGTTTGAGTGTTTGTTTGTGTGCGTGTGTCTGTGAATGATAATGTGTGTTGTGTTGACTTAGTATTTGGACAAGTGGATTGAATTGTTGATGGAGAGAATGCATGGGAGACTGATTGGATGAATGTTTTGATGAGTGGTTGTGCGAGTGTTTGTACGAGTGTTTGTAGGAGTGGTTGGACGAATGTTTGGATTGTTGAAGGTTTAATCTATTTGACAGATTGATCGATGGATTGATTGACTGATTTGTTGATTTGTTGAATTTTTGAATGATCGACTGATTGATTGAAGGACTGATGTGATGATTGATTGATTGATTGATTGATTAATTATTGGTGTTGGATTTCGTCCATTGTAGCTGAGACCACTACTGGCACGAACGAAGTGACGACGGAGACCGAGATTACGGAGACCGACACTACGGGAACTGAGGTTATGTTGACGGAGAGTACAACAGGTGAGTGTGTTAGTTGATTGTGTGTATGCAATGTACGCAGTGTTGTTTGTGTGAGATGTGTTTGAGTTAGTTGTGCACAGAACTGATACTACTGGTGATTTGGTGGATTGCATGTAGTGCG